GATTCTTCTTTCTTCACGTGGCATCTCCTAAGCCCTCTAATGTTTTCTTGTGTGTTTCATATTCATCATTCTCATGAAGGCCGGCGACTTCAGGGATCAGGTAGTAAGTGTCATTTACTGGAAAGAGCATTGGAACTGGGAGTTAGTAAACCTGTATTCTCATCCGAGTTGTGATGCTAACTAGTTGTGTCACCCTGGACAAGTCAGTTAACTTCTCCAGGCTTCCACTTCCCCATGTAAAATGAGGCAATTTGAATCTAAAGTCCCTTCTAGGTCCATAAGTCTATGAAGTTTATCTTAAGCATTGAAAGTAAAAGAACCTTTTGAGATTATAGAGTTGTGCTCTTATTTTATAGATAATGACATTGGGGCCATTTCAGTACAGACTGTTCAATAAAGGCCCTAGCAAAGAAACTCATTTGCAAGGTTCTAGAGAAAGAATGAATAATGAAAAAAGTCAAGGAATCAGGCAAAATTTTTGTCATCTTGAAGAGAATACAAGGTAAATTGAAATATGTATGTATATTTGTATACATGTATACATATATGTGTATATCACTCAGTAATCTCTCTTCCTTTGAGATTCATGTTATTCATATCTACTGCCCAATCAAAATTCTAGTAGCTATTGTCTACTTCTCAAAGAGTTTGATACCTGGCTTTTAATTTTTCTCTCCTCCGCAGCTCCTGCCCTCACACTAGGGGACTTCAACACACAAATTGATTCTTTTTCAAATACCCTAAATACACGGGTCCTAAACCTACTCACCTCCTATGAACTATTCTTCTACCCCACCTCAGCCACACAGAAAGATGGTCATAGTCTTGATCTTGTCATTACCTACAAAAATACCACCTCCATGTTCAAAATTTTCTAAATTACTTTATAGAACTGGAATCTATTGGCTTTTCACCTCTCCCTTTGCCTTCTCTTACATAATCCTTTTCTTCATCTGCATCATGATCTGTAATCCCTTGACCCCTCAATTCTCTTCCAGGTCATCTCTCCTGTACTAACGAACCAATTCAACTCCATAATAACTGCTTTTGAATCCCCAGCCCCCTTATCATATTAATGATTATGCCTAACCAAGACTCAGTTTTGCCTCACTCTCACCATTTCATAACCCTAGACCCTACACAAGTACTACTGAACAAAGGTGGAGAAAATCACACCACCATTCTGACTGAGTCCACTACAAATTTATGTTCTACAACCTCAGTTGGGCCCTCGCTGCTGCTAGGCAATTCTACTCTACCTTCCCTTACCAACACAATATCCTATTCTCCACAGAGGCTCTTCCAAATTTTTTCATCCCTCTTCAAACTTTATGTGGCTCTCCCTGTCCTTACTCTCTCTTCTGAGAACCTTGCTTCATATTTTATAGAAAAAAAAATTAAAGCTATTCTCCATGAGCTCCCTCTTTTCCTCATGTCCTATTGCTCAAGTGCCTTCTGCTACTTTTTCCTCCTTCACCCTGATTTCACATGATGAATTTGCCTTACTTGCTCCTAAACAATGCTAGCCCATCTACTTGTTTAAGTGATCCCATTCCATCTCATCTCCTTTAACAGATTGTCTCCTTTGTCTTCCCTACTCTTTCACTTATTTTCAGTCTCTTCCTATCTACTGGCTCATTTCCTATTGCCTACAAACAGGTTCCTGTCTCCCCTATCCAGAAAAAACAACAACAACAACAACAAAAAAAAAAAACCCTTGCTTGATCCTTCCATTCCTTCCCGCCTCCCCCCAACAAATGTGGTCCTATTTCTCTTCTGCCTTTTGTACCTAAACTCCTCAAAAAAGGCCTCTTACAATAGATGCCTCTACTTTCTCATTTCTCATTATCTTCTTAACTCCTTGAAGTCTGGTTTCTGATCTGACCATTCGACTAAAACTGTTCTCTCCAAGATCACTAATGATCTCAGCTACTTAATCCAATGGTCTTTTCTCATCCACGTTCTCCTTGACCTCGCTGTAGCCTTTGACACTACTAATCACTCTGTCCTCCTTAATACTCTCTTTTCTCTAGGTTTTAGAGACCCTGCTCTCTTCTGGTTTTCCTCCTCCCTATCTGACTGCTCTTTCTCTGATATTTCTTTAGATCACATACTCTAGCCAAAGATGTCCCAAAGGGTTCTGTCCTGGGCCCTTTTCTTTTCTCCCTCTGTACTACTTCACTTGGTGATCTCATCAATTCTCGTGGATTCATTTACCATCTTTATGCTGAAGATTCTCAAATCTACCTCTCCTGCCTCAATCTCTTTGCTGACCTCTAGTCTCACATCTACAACTGCCTGCCTTTCTGATATCTTGAACTGGATGTCCGGTAGACATCTTAAACTCATTATGTCCAAAACAGAACTCGTTATCTTTCCTCCTAAACCTAAATCATCCCCCACTCCTAACTTTACTATTACTGTAGAGGGCAACACCATACTCTTTGTCTCTCAGGCTCACAACCTATCCTGGATTTCTCACTATTTAGATCCAATCTGTTGCCAAGGCTTATTGGTTTTGTGTTTTCAACATCTCTCATATATGCTCCCTTCTCTCCTCTGCCTCTGCCACTTCCACCACTCTAGAGTAGATCCTCATCCCCTCACACCCTGATTACTACAATAGTCTGCCTGGCCTCAGTCTCTTCCCACTCCAACCAATTCTCCATTCAGTCACTAAAATAATTTTCCTAAAATGTAGGTCTGATCATGTTACCCTCCACCCCCTCCCCTACCACTGAGGTCATAACCTAGCTTCCTTATTTCTTTCCAGTCTTTTTACACCTTATTCCCTGACACATATACTCTTTGATCCAGTGACACTGATCTATGAACATTCCATTTCTAGATCTCTAGGCTACAGGCATTTTCTCTGGCTGGCCCCCGTGGCTAGAACATTTGCTCTTTTCCGCTGTGACTACAGACTTCCCTGGCTTCCTTTAAGTCCCGATGTAAATCCTGCCTTCTACAGGAAGCCTTCCCTAACCCCTCAAATCCAGTGCCTTCCCTCTGTCATTTTCTCCTATCTATCCTCTATTAGCTTGCTTTGAATATATTTGTTTGCAGGTTGTTTCTCCCGTTAGATTGTAAGCTCCTTGAGGACAGGGACTATCTTTTGCTCTTTTTGTATCACCAAGGCTTAGCACAGTGCCTGGGCACAAAGCAGGTGCTTAAGAAATGTTTATTCATTGATTGATTAACTTAAAGGGAAGAGAGGAAAATAGGTGGGAAGGAGGGATGGACGGATCAAGTGGGTTTTTTGAGAAATGAGGCTGACATGGACACATTTATAGGCAGTAGGGATGCAGTCAGTAGACAGAGAGAGAGAGATTGAAGATAAATAAGAGTTAAGATTATAGAGAAGGCAAATCTGCTAGAGAAGACAGGCTGGAAGAGGATCTCTTATGCCAGATTCATAAATGTTTACTCGTCCCTTCATTAGTCTACGCTGGGGGATGAATGCTTATAAGTCAGTATCGACTGCTGAGACTACTTAACTGGAATAGCCTTGGAGTTGAGGAAGAATTTTTTTTTTTTCCCTTTTGTGTCAAGAGGAAGGGAGGAGAGCATAAGTAATGAGAGAAAGAGAACTGAAGTGAAGATGAGGGACGATGGGAAGCTACTGGCAATCAGAAATATCATGGAGCTATAGCGGGGAATGGAGAGGGTGGAGGATAGTATTGCAGTTATTTGTGAAAGTAGATCCTTGAGGAAGGTGAAGAAGATTTGAAATATCAGCAGTTGGGAGTGTTTGGGACTCAGAGAGATGAATAATAGTATTGTGGATCAGTACTGACTACCAGGTTAAGTTAGACAGCAAAAAATTTTTTTTGGGGGTAGGCATATGAAATTTCTCATTTTGTTAGTTAAGTCAAGGTACATGTTCTAAAGGATTTAAAGTCAAGGTACCTGGGCTCAAATTTCACCTGTCACTACTACCTGTGTGCCCGTGAGCAGGTCATGACCTTTCTCAGCCTTAATTTCCTCATCTATAAAATGACAACAGGCTATGTCCTTTCCAGCTCTAAATCTATGATGTTATGAAATAAAGATTATCAGTGTTTTTAGATAATTGTCTTCTAATCCAATACTATATTTCTCTTTTCATTTTCTGCTTGATGTGAGTTACTTCAAACAATGAAATTTCCTGCTGAGGTATTCCTACCTAAAACAAAAACAAAAACAAAAAGAAAAAACAAACAAAACAAAACAAAAAAACCACATTAAGTTTGAGAAGTTACTTAAACTGCAATTAATCACGCAATAATAACATATTGGATGAACTGGATTTTAATGCTTGGTTAGGGGTTAATTCAGAAACTGACATGCTTGAATAGGCAGCCCTGGTGGAATTTTATGTGTAGTCCAAATAGGCCTCAGGCAGCTTTTGACTTTGTAGAAACAGATTTAACTTTTTCCAAGGAATGATCTGATTAAAATCTGTTGATTAGATGAGAATTTTTCCTAAGGAGTGCCTGCAAACAAAATATCTTTTGTTGCTAAAAAAAAAAAAAAAAAAAGAAAAAGAAAAAGAAAAAGCTTTTGCAAATTGTGTCAGTAACAACCCATTTAACTCTCAATTATCTATGTATTATGGAGAATTATTTCCCATCCTTCTTGCTCTGGTCACACATTCAAATAGGCTTTACTTATCCCTTTCCTTCTACTGCTTCATAAGACCCTTTATTGTTTTCTCCAGATTTGCTTACTGTTTTTCTGATGCCTCAGGCCATTTTGCCCTCAACAAGCTATGGATGTGAAAGGACAAGGAAGCAATTATGTGGGTTATACACCTTCAACGTCTCTGTCTAATAAGTTAGTCAAGAAATATTGAGGGTCTGCATGTGTGGGGAGCACTTGCGTCAGAAGATGCATTTGTGGGAGATGCTAAAATAGGATAGTATGTGGAATTCATTTGGGAACCTAGAGTTGGTTTTTGTTTATTTTGTTTTGTTTTTGTTCTGTCAGCAGACTGATCACTCATTACAAAGCTCCTGAAAGCTACCAACAAGGATTTCCTCTGCTTATAAATTCACAAATACCATTCTTGTGTCTACATTCTGGACCTGATTTTATCAGACAGGTACATAACTAACTCATTCCTGTTCCTTGTCAGGCATCGACTTCCTCATATGCTGTTTAAATAGATCCATGAGACAAGTGGATGTTGGCATCCCATCATAAAGGCAATGAGTTGTGCTGGTTCCCAAAACTAATTCTTTGAACACTGATTTTCTTAATGTTGCCACCCTCTAATGAGGACTACTCATTACATAATCATTTGAAATATGAAAAGAATAGTTCTTACTTCCTGAGTCTCAGTTGGACTTTAACCTTTTTTATCAATATGGGACTATAAGATAATGAGATCTCCACAAACCACTAAAGAAAAGTCAGTTAATGCTTTATTAGGCATTTAGTAAGTGTTCAAAGCACCGTGCTAGGTCCTGGGGATACGAAGATGGGTATGTCATGGATGGCTTGCCCTTGAAGATCTCACAAAAAATGAAAGTGAGATTGGTTAAGTCTGCGAAGTTACCCACCTGAGCCAGTTAATCTAAATTCCAAGATGGAGCTGCCAGGATGATGCCAAACAGATGGAAAATTGAACAGTTTTGTTACCATTTTTATAAACTCTTATTTTCATTATTTGTCATAGTAGAACCACCACATTTTGACTCTTAACACTTCAGTTCCAGCTGTACTATATAAAGAAATTAAAATGTCCCTTAAGAAGATGACATGGGTGGGGCAGCTAGGTGGCACAGTGGATAGAGCAATGGCCTGGGATTCAGGAGGACCTGATTTCAAGTCCAGCCTCAGACACATAACACTTACTAGCTGTGTGACCCTGGGCAAGTCACTTGACCCCATTGCCTAGCCAAAAAAAAAAAAAAGAAGAAGAAGAAGATGACATGGGGAAGAGCAGCTGGGATGTATACTAAGTACACCATGAGGAAATTTGTGCTGGAGGCCATGCAATGATGAAATAATTGAGGGATTATTTTATAAGCTATCTCAGGGAAAGGTAGGTTTCCAAGAAAATTATGAATGATATGAATCCTGGCTCTAGTACTTACTACCTATGTGACCTTGGGCACAAGTTGTTCAACCTCATTGGAACTCAGTTTCCTTTACTATGAAATTGGAAGAGGTGGATGAGGTGACCTATAAGGTACCTTCCAGCTCTAAAGCTTTGATCTTATGAGCTAATAAGAGAAAAGACATAATATACAACTGTCATACAGCGAAGATTGTGATAATTGTGAAGGAAAGGAATTGGACAAGGTACTATGAGAAATTTGAGGTGAAACATCACTTTTCTTTGGGAATTAAGGGAGCTGGGGAGGAGTATCAGGGAAGGTTTTGTGGAAGATCTGGGCCTTGAAGTAATGGAGAGATTTCAATAGATGGAGATGAGAACAAGTAGGGGAGTCCATTTCATCATAGGTGTGGGCAATGGTATGACCAAAGAAAATACATCTTTTAAAGACATTATTGGATTCATAGGAAATTTTTTGGTCATTATATATCTTCTCAGTTAATGGATATCAATTTTTATAACACTAATCCTTTGAATCTGTGAAATTCTTTGACATTAAAAAGGAATTTTTGAAAGGGTTAGGAATCAATTATTTGGGTCTTAAGCCTTGAAGACAGTGTTTTTAAAATTTCTGTGAGGCAGTAATGGGTAATTCAGTAATTTATACTTTATTTATGAAACTGTCAATCCTAGGGTTGTGAATATTTTGCAAAAGATGTGTACCTGCTCTTTTGAGAAGGCCCAATCTGGGAAGCTATCTGAAGAGTCTCAGAAAAGTCTTAACTCTCTTGTTGATTCATACCTATGGAGATAATTTACAAATTGTCACATGCATATACATCCAGACTACTTCTTGTCTCAAGGCCGAACAGGGTTTTGGTGTGTGGGAGTTAATTGTAGGGGAGATAAATATGATATTTCTCCAAGCCACTAAGAAACACCCTGATAGCCAGGGGTTGAATACTCCATAAGGGGATTTAAATGCAGATTCCAAGAAAAAATTTTTTCAACCTTTTCTGGAGTTATAAGTACAAAGATAGATTATTCCATTGCCGGGATCAGACAATTCTCACATGAGTTTAGGCAGTTACGTAACATACTTTCACAACAGAAACTTTGGGTTGCATTTCCTTCCTCTATGCATTTTTTCAAAAAAAAAGTGAAATAAATGAGAAACAAAAGTTTCATCATCATATGGCTTTCTCCTTAGAATTATAGAAGGTAACTCAATTGTCCTTTGATTAATTTTAAGTTTTTAACTAAGTTACTCTTCAAAGTGACCTAAGTATGGTAGAGGAGCATGAAATAATGAGACATATAACAGTAATTTGCCTGTCAAGATATGTCTTTAAGATACTCAGATATTTTGTAGATGTAGCATTGTGAAACAGAGTGGAAAGTAGTATTCACTTCCTCCTCTCCCCTGTAAATGGATCTAATTAAAGCTCATGATTTGGATGTGGGTCCTAGCACTTCCTGTTAGTTTCAGTAAGAGAAACTGGGGATAAAATCACAGTGAAATTTCAGAGTAGATGGGCATCACAGATTGTATGGTCTTCCATGGCCATTAACTTTTTTGAGATAGATTTATCATTCATCTGAAGCTAGATGCAACCCAGATTCTCTCTCATCTCCCCAGTGCTCCAGACATCGGTCAACTACTCAATCGATCAACAGGTATTTTTTAAAGCACTTGCTATGTGCTAGGCACATGCTGGGAATACAAATACAAAACTGAGAGAGGTGCTTCCTTTGAAGAATTTATGTTCCATTAGCAAGATGCAAGATGTCCACCAATAAATAAAGAAGATTTATACAAAATAAAGCATGTAGTAATTTGGAGGTGGGAGAACATTAACAACTAGAGGAATCAGGAAAGGCTTCTTGAAGGAGTTCACATTTGAACTGAGCCTTGGTAAGATCCAAGAGGCAGAAATAGATATTGCTTATCTGGGTGCCTAAAGTCAGTGAGACTTAAGATTTGCAAAGCACTTTACAAATATGATCTCATTTTTTGTCCTCATGGCAACCCTGGCATGTAGGTGCTGTCATTATCCCCATTTTGCAGGTGAGAAAACTGAGACAACTAACTTAAGCGACTTGCCCAGAGTCACACAGCTAATAAGTACCTGAGGCAAAATTCGAACACAAGTCTTTCAGACTCTAGGTGTAATGCTATAACCACTGTTCCACTTTGCAAACCAATAGTGATGGGAACAGTAACACTACCTGGGCTAATGGGGCTAGAGAGGTAAAATTGGGAGTAGAGGATTGCATGAAGCTGTTTATGATGGGAATAACCAGTTTCAGTGTCTAGTGATCCCCAGTAAAAAAACCACAATTGCATCATACAGTACTATGTCAGTGCCAGACAGAACTCTCAAGGAAGTCAAGTACTGTTTATATTTCAGGAAAGAAATGAAGGTAGGATGAAGGTTAATAGTTATAAAGAAATGAAGATTCTGGCTTTGAGCTTTGACAAGAGATCTTTCATGGCTTGTCAATACCTGATTTAAGTTCTAGAAAGAGCCTCAAGAATCAAGGATGTAAGGATGTAAGGGTGATGGAAACTATATTGAATTAAATATTCTGTATGGCTAGGAACTTTTAGAGCGTGGAGCAAAATGGTCTGATACTTCAGTAAGCTGCAAAACAATAATAAATACAAAGGGATTTTTAGTTGAATTTCTCAGAATGCTCTATATGCAGGCCTGTCTCCATTCTACTTAAATATAAGAGTACTGGAGCAGGAAGTTTGACTTGGTTTTTAGTCTTTAGTCGATCACTAACTGAATGTCTAACTTTAGGCAAGTCACTTGTTCTCTGGGGCTTGCTTTCCTTTTCTGCAAAATGAAGTGAGTCATATTAAGTGCTCTCTTTCTGCTCTAAATTCTGTGATTATAGGTGTTTGTGATGTTAGAGATAGGAATAGAAATACAATAACTTATGTGCTGTGCTTTCTGCATACATTTTCTTATTTCTTCCTCAGTTTATCCCTGTGATGTAAGTAGAAAAGATGGCATTATTCTTGTCTATAGATAAGGACTTGTTCAAGGTCACAGAAAACACCATAATATAGGCAGTATCAGTTATGTATTGATGGTCTGTTTCCTCACTCTGGGTTACTAAATAAGAGAAAGCCAATCTAGATTATTGAAAATTAATCTTGTCAGATTAATATTGGTTTTATTTCCTTTGTGGAGATTATGGTTTAGCATGACTTAAAACTTAATATTTAATAACTTAAGGTTGTCTTTTTTTTTTTACTTCTACTGACATTTATTAAGTCCCTACTCTGTAGCTAATGCTGTACTAGAAAATGGGAAAGATGGGTTAGATTTTATATGGTCTCTTTCCAATGGAATTTACAGTGTAACAGGAGGCCATACATACATAGATACATATACATACACACATATACATATACACACACACACACACATAAAATATACACACTGAACTTCATTTCTCATCAGACTATACTCTGGATTTCATTATATCCCCAGAAGCCTAGTCATCCTGTAAGATTACATCATCTCTGGAACTCACACCTGTTAATCTCCCCTGCCCAGGGGAACTTCCCTCCCTTTGGAGAAGGGAAAGAGGGGACAGCTAAGAGCTTTTTAAGAAGGACTCCCAAGCCAGCCATCTCCTCGTTTCCTGATCAGCTGCAGTCCTGCACTTCATCATGCCCCATTGAGACTTCTCTCCTCCTCATGTTTTTAGCTTCCTTTTGTATAGTTTTCTTCATTAGATTATGAGCTCCTTGAAGGTAGGGACAGTCTTTTGCCTTTCAGAGCTCAGTGCCATGTATTAGGGGCTTAATAAGTGGTTATTGACTATCACACATATCCATGAATATATATATGTATATATATACATACATATACATATTTACATATAATATAGCTAGATAGGAGTTTTTGTCTTTTTTGTGTCATGGGACTCTGTTGATAGTCTGGTGAAGCCTATGGATCTCTCCTCAGAATAATGTTTTTAAATGAATAAAATACATAGGATTAGAAAGGAAATCAACTATA